TTAAAGATGCAATATAAAATATATATATATATCCTAAAACATTCTTAGTTTGTGTCTCAGATTAGTGACTATATTTCACATTTCTCACTTTTCTCGAACTGGTGATTTTCGCTGCAGAGTTTTGAGCTTTAGTCATGACAATGTTGTTTAATTCTATCTTGTGTGGCGCAAAGGGTTTCCATAAAAATGTCTTTTATCATTCTTATTAAGATACTTGTTTTAACCTCGAACTAAAATGATTATTCACATTTATACAGCACAAATATTCCCATGCAATAAGGAAAAAGGCATTATTTAAGACTTGAATAATCCACTTTCACAATATCTGTTAAAAGTTGAAACTTATAGTTCCTTTTTTAATGTTTCAACACAAAACAAAATCATACATGTGTTAAGATAAGACACATTAACATAAAAAGACTCAAGTTCAACAACTTCTATGACCATTTCACTTTTTGTGGTGATGCTAGCAAAAGTATGTGTTTGTTAGCATTAGCACGCTGTGAGCATGTGCTTAGCATGTGCAGTATTTCATTTCAGAAACATGTTGCATCAAGTCTCTGCTGTTTAGAATAAAAAAAAAACTGAAAATTATACATAGTGTATTCTCTTATCTAAAATAAACCCATGCTTGACATTTATACAGCCCTGGTTAGATTCAGACTACATTTGAATCCTGATAGGGGGCACACTAGGGAAGACAACTAACTAGAGAAACGAGTGTAGTACTGACAGAAGCGGCCTTGACTGAAACGGTGACTTACAATCAGCAGGGCACACCCCGTGGAAAGAATATAATTTAAACTTCAGCTCAGCGTGACATGCAACTTGAGAGATAAAAGATGGCAGAGGAAAGTGAATTAATGAGGCATTCTGAGTGAATAAAGCGGAATGTTGATAAGTGACAGAGTGCGTCGAATGCAGAATGAGTATGTAAACAGGGGGTGGCATGCTGAGAGGACAGCTGTCAGATGAGTGACTGCTTTAATAACCAACACACTCACATCGTCTTGAGACTGCAGTAAACTTCCTGTAGATGATTCCCCGAAGACAACAAACCATCTGGAAAGGCTGCGTCTTTACATTAACTTCGATACATTTGACAGTCGCTTTTATCCAAAGCAACTTACATTTCAAGGAATGGACACATTTATAAGCACTTGCTTTCCATGAGTATCAAAGCCATGGCCTTGGCGTTGAAAGCTTTTGGCACAAAATCGGTATAAATGTCATCGAATAGACATTTCTAAAAACATCTTGAAGTGAGCAACAGTGGAGGCAAAAGTTGGGCCGCCCCTGTAAATGTTCATGATTTCTCTTTATAATTCATTGTCCATGCTCAGAAACCATCAAACCTGACTGAACCACTGATGTTTTGTAAAGAAAAATGGTCCAAAATGCCTTCTCCCACTCTCAAGTTGGAAGCTATATAAAGTAATATTTCTGCAAAAGGAGCATGCACAAAACATTAAGTACATTTTTCTTTTTTGGAGCTTAAATTTACGCACATGCCTATTTTCTTTAAACGATTCTTGCATACTTTCAGAAATCATTCACTTTTTATGTAAAATCATTTAATTTCACTAACATTACTGTATTGGTTTCATATATTTAACTGAAATTTCTGATCCTGACAACCAATGATTTATAAAGCAAAATAAATTAAACTTGTTACTTGTTATGAAATAAAGAATTACAATGTCAACACATTGTGAATGCACAATCAATAAATATTTGAAAAAAAAAAAAAGAAAAATATAAACATTGTTATGTTGAGGGTATTATTTATCTATAATATTCATTTTTTAACTAGTGCTGTAAAATTTGAGTGTAAACACATTTGATTAATTTTAAATAATTAAAGCATTAAAAATGTACGTAATTAACGTAATTTACGCAAGTTCCATTTTTGATATAAAGAAGTGCGAATCAGAATAAATAAGGACTTTTTCTCACAGTCCATGCCTTTATTTTCTGCCCATTTAATGGTTTTTACTTCCGCCTTTCTGTCACATGAACGTTCATTTTGCTTCCATGCAACACAAGTCCTCCATGTGACTATAGCGAGTTTTTAGTTTTGTTTATTCCTCCTCCTTTGAAGAAGTCGTTTGTTATTCAGGTTTTCCCTACAAGGGTCTTTACAATGTGTCCTTTTGATTTTATGTAACTTGTTTTTGTGATTAATAAACAAATGCTGATTTGGAGGATATTGATGGTTTTTGAAAGTATGTTGTTTACGTGAGAAAATCTGTTACAAGTTGAACAAAAATTTTGATAAACAATCAAATAAACATTTGTTCATCAAATTTAACATTTGTTATTTACATATCTAAAAAGTTTCAGTATTTTGTACGTTTTTTTAAACGCTTCACAGCACTATTTTGACCTATAATGAATGATATGGATATTTAAGGTAAAACTGTTTTCTACATAAATGACTTCCACATTTCAATAGTGTAATAACATGCGATTGCATATGTTTTCATAATATTTTGATAGGTTTGATGGGTCATAATGTTTTTTATTGTCAGAAGTGAGAGGTAGCGATGGCTATTACCAAGCATTAGCCTTTGAACGGGACAAAGCCTCACTGAAGCACTACATTATTAATACAGGCCTTCAAAGACTCCAGCAGATGAGAGTGAAGGCAGAGAGGGCTAATTACATATTCGTTTGACTGGGCTCATTTACACCCATTGTGATGTTCAGGACGATTCAGGACATGAGATCATAGATTAAACACTTAACGCCAGGGGAGAAGGGCTGTTCACATGAGCAATGATACAATGCTTCATGTGAGCAGTGGGTTTACTTTGAGTCAATGGTTAGCGCAACACAATTCAGAGGACCCACTGTAGCCCGTCCATCACAGAGCCACACCCACTTACAATTCAGGTGGGATACAGATTAGAATCATAATGACGTTTCATTAGTGGGTTCTAAAGATGATCAAATGTATGAGTGAATGAATAGCTAGGGAAACAAACGTAGAACTGAACACAAATATGGCTGAATGACAATCAAAATGCAGAAGTTAGATTTGCGAATGACAAAATTTCTAAATATAGTAATCGATCATACAGCTGAAGATACAAACGACTGAATAAACGAGATAATGACTGCCTGAATGAACAAACAATGAAAAATAAACGACTGAATAAACAAGTGACTAAACAAACATCACCAACACCAACCGGATGAAAACTGAGTGGAACAACTGAGCAAACAACAGGCTGAACAAAACTGAACGAACACAAGTCTGAAAAATGGAGGAAGAAATGAAATAACAAATAAAACATCAAACTAAAGAACAAAGGAACAATTCTCAGATTGAACAAACAACCTAATGAGCGAACAAAGATTGAGAAAGTGAACAAATTACTGTCAAAATGAACAACTAAGCGAACAAATTAAATAACTTGAACGAACAACTGTCAGAATAAATGAACAACTACATTAACAAAAGAGTGAACGAAAGAATAAATAACTGAACAAACATGTCACACTAAACAGACAACTCGAAGGACTGTATTAATACATAGAAGACAGAATGAACAACTGTCAGAATAAACAAAACTAAGCAAAGGAAAGAGTGACTGAAAGAACAAATAACACCCGTTCAGAGTAAACAAACAACTAAGGGAACAAAAGAATGAAAGAAAGAATAAATAACTGAACAAACAACTGTCAGAACAAATGAACAACTAAGCGAACACAAGGAAAAATAAATTAATGAACAACAGTCAGACTAATACAACTCAGTGAACAAAAGACTGAATTTAAGAAGAAAAATACTGTCAGAACAAACGAACAGGTGAAAGAAAGAACAAATAAAAGCCAGACTAAACAACGAAATGAACGAAAACACGAGTGAACGAAAGAACAAACAACTGAGCACACAACAGTCAGAATAAACTAAAAAAAGGACTGAAAGAAAGAGCAAATGAAAGAACTGTCAGAATAAACAAATAAACACAGTGCGCGAAACTGAATTTAAAAACAAATGACAGAATGAACAGCAGTCAGAATAAACAAACAACTAAGTGAACAAAAGAATGAAAGAAAGAATAAATAACTGAACAAACAACTGTCAGAATAAACAAACAACTAAGTGAACAAAAGACTGATTGATAGAACAAATGATGAACATTTATTCTAGGGTTAAACATCTAAACCAGCAACATGTAGAGCAGATATCATGACCTCATTTCCTCTTCTTTATTTAGAGTGTTTGTTCACAACTAATTTAATTTATTTGTCCAATCAAGAGTTCCATGCCAAATCTTTTAGTAAGCCCTTCTGTCCTCCCACAACAAGTGCAGATCCATCTCTGGGCTCTGTATTCCCATCTGTGCTGGACTGAATGATAACCTCTTAACCCTTCCCTGGCTCTCCACTGCGTCCCTTGGCACCTTGTGCGTCAACATCAGAAGCCGTTTGAAGCAGAGGACAAATAGAAGAGCCAATCTTCATCTGTCTCAACCACATGTGCTCTGATCAATGAGTAGCATCCATCTCATCTACGATTAACATTCCAAAAGTAGAAGTCACATCCCGTCAAAATGCCCATCTGGCGGTTTCCTGCTACTCACAACCCCCCGGGAAAATCTCCCACCATTTCCAGCATAGCCACCATCAATCAATCTGCCATATCTGATCAGCTTCAATGTGGCAGTGAAACAATCTGAGAACCTCATTGACAAACAAAGATGGAAGAGAGGAATCCAATGCTGCCTTTATATTGAAGAATGGGAAAACAATTACGGTTAGTATGGGAATGGAACCCTTACTAACCCTTGTCAAAATTGGCCAGTCATCAGGAGATAAACTGCACAGAATAAAGGCAAAACTAAATTATGAAGGCGGCAGTATGGAGAGCTTTATAAAAGATAAAAGCAAGGGAACATGAAGGACTAAATCACAACAGGAATCATTTCACCATCTTTACGGAAGTTAAGATAGTCCTCCTGGGTCAACAAGGTGTGTGATGGGGATTATTAGCTTTCCTGGGGCTCAGTTGGTACAGCATTGCGCTAACAACATCAATGTCATGGGTTCAAAGCCCAGGGAAACAGCAACTGACAAAAAAAAAATATGTTCATTCGTTCAAATGTAAGTTGCTTTGGATAATGCATAAATGTAAATGATTATTTTTCCCAGTGAGACTCTGAATCACACACATCGAGAAGAAAATGAGTTCCAGGATGCCACAGAGGCCATGGAGAACATGACAAGACGCGTCATCGGGCAACAGACGATTGCCAGTTTTGTCGGTCTGCTGCAAATTGCTTAGCATCCACCCACCAAATGTTAAAGTCTAGGAACGTCTATAGACCTTTTATAACGTCCTCCTCCAGGGTATTCTGGGGGGAGCGAATCATTACTTCACGTTTTTTTGGCATTTATGTGATGTTTGGATAACTTTGGCCGATTCTGTGGAGTAAAGGCGGTAATGCTAAAGGACCAAAAACTTTGGTCAAAAATGGAATTGACAACAATCTCAATGTCTTCCAACAGCGTTGTCTCCTTTATACTATTTTGCATAACGTACATCAGACATAAGACCAATGACGAGGTTTTAAGTGAGATAGGCCACACATGGCAACAAAATCAGCATTTATAACTCAAGGAAATGAAGCTAATCTAGTTCATATCTATGGATCTCAGTGTACCGGAAATGCCCCCAAACCTTAACATTGCATTAAAGATAATTAGCCACAGTGACAAGGAGCATGAATCCCTGCCCTCAACCTTCATCTGCAGACACAGAGTACAGAACGGGGCTACTTCACCTGCTTCTGCTGCTGCTGTGTCAACATTTCTCAGATGAAGAGGCACAGCGTCCTTCCTGATGGGTAAATACCGCAGTAATGTATCAGCAAGGGATGAGAGGAAAGCACTGAGAAGCACACAGCCAGAGGAATCCCCATAGAAATACTGCAGGATTCTAGAAAAGCTCATAAAGCCAGCAAGCAAATCTGTTTTGATGAATTCTACCTCGCAAACGGAAACACAATACCTCAAATCTAGGGTTCTTATCCCTCACATTCCAAAACGAAAAATAATTACTTCAATCCAGAATAAAAACCCTCAGAAATTAAAGTAGCAAACATGCGTAGCAACAAGGAGTTTGTGATGTCATGGTAACAAAGTCCACAGGGCATTATGTGGTGACTGGTGATGTGAGGTTCATGGCTGGTGAGGCGCCGCTGAACCCTACAGAGAAGCTTGCTCTCCATTTGATTGGCAACAGTTACTGTGTTTGGTTTTTCTTTAATTATAAATGGTCAATGCATCGCTTCTTTTAAAGAAGCTTTAAAAGTCTGTCGCAGACCCGTTGTCTGTAGCTTTGATGAAAAGTCAAATGTGGAAAATGTATTGAGTTCAGGTACAAAATCTTCCATTTAGAAAATGAGGCAGAACTATTTGAAGGAATAACTAATAATGACTTGCTAACTATTTACTGTAGCTTGACGTAATCTCACCAGCGCACCCTAGCATGAAGCAGGAGAACTCTGTGCCTCACCTAGTTTCACAAAGCATACACGGCTGTTGATAAAAAAAAAAAAAAAACACTGAACATCTTATAAAGTATGTAAATTCAGCTCGTGTAGTACAAGTCATTGCTTACTCCAAGGTGAGGCTTAGCAAGCTGCTACCTCACGTTGCTTCTTAGTATGTGAACCCTAAATGTGAAATTCAGCAATTTTGGGGAGGGAAAATTTTTTAATGGAAAATAAAATATTTTAATAAATATAATAATGCTTTCCCTCACTGCATGTGACTGGTGAGGACCATAAAACAAATAAGGTTACTATTTCACAGAACTATATATGTAGCTGGGCTAAAAATATCTTCCATAAACTTAAGTTAGGATAATTGCTATATTTCTATATCTAAATAAATATAAAAGTACATTTCATGTGTATTAGGATTTTCCCATATTTTACTCTGTACAGATATTATGTTTCCGTTTTATTACGCCGATAAATTCAGTGAGGAACTTATATTGAACGTGGAGAGCGCATTTCAGCGTTGCACACTCACCTTGTGTAGTCCATGGGTGACTAGATGCTCTCACTTTCGTTGTGTTGAAAGTCATTACGGTTTAAATGTGTTCAGAAATCACAAACAAGACCCTATTAGACCAGGTTTGGGGGGGTATTCTTGTCAAAATACGGTCCAATCTGTTCTAAATGAAGGCAAAATGACAAGAAAAAACCTTGCACTTCCTGACTCTAGGTCCTGTCATTTAATGAAGCCATCAGGCAAAAACATCAAATCTCAAATGGAAGGAGAACAACTTGCAGAGTGTCAATAAACACTGGTAAACGAATGACTAGTCAATCAATTATAGTTGTACAGGGCTCTAGAGTGCGACTAATTTGGTCGCATATGCGACCTAATTTCTCAATGGTGCGACTAAAAAAAAATCAAAGGTTGCACCGGTGCGACCCGTCGTTCGAGGGGGAAAAAAAAACGAAACTCCGTCTACGGCCGGTCCGCCTCCTGCGCGCGGCTCACAACACGCGTATCACCCATTCATGCGGCTCAATACGCGCCTATCGCGGCAAGCGCGCCGATCAATTCGCGTTTACCGCGCCGCTGAAGCCTCAGACGCGTGCAAACGCGTCTTTGCATTGACTTAACATGGAAACCCTCCGCGCTTACCGCGCGAACCGCGTTCGATGTGAACGTACCTTTACAGCGGCAGGCAGCTGCAAACAGATCATCAGACGAGGCCGAGATGATAATTAAGTTTTTCGTTGCCTACAATATTGCAAAAGAAGAACTCCCCTTCACTAAATTCAAGTCCGAAATAATTCTTATGAAGAAAAATGGCTTGAACGTAAACCCGACGTACAGCAATGATATCACGCGCACCCAATTTATAGGAGTCATCGCAGATACATTGAAAAATAAAAGACGTCTGTGCAAATTGCGAACAGTGCGTACATGGAATTCCTGATCGACAGAGGCACATATATCGCCACAAAAAAATGAGTCATTGTGTACAGTCGTATCTTGCGGAAAGGAAGACCGATGAATATATTATTGAACACATTGAGGTCGAGCATGCTCATGCCCAAGGGAAGCCATGTCATGTCATGGAGCCTATGTCAATAATATGCCTACCGTCTCGTTACTGCATTAACCATAATATTCTGATACTTAAAATGAAAAAATAAATAAATAGGCTGCATTATAAACTCTTGATCTGGGTAGTAAATGGTATTATCGTTTTTATTTGTATTTGTTGCTCTTAGGGACCAAAATCAGTTTAAAGTTTTAAATTTCAGCTTTAAACACCTTTTCAGTAAGTTTTAGTTACCTTTCTTGTAGAATTGTGCTTCAAATAAAGAACTTTATATTGACCAGGTTGTTAGTTAATCATTTACAAGTCAATATTGTCTATATGGACAGTGATTTAAAAAAAATAAATAAATAGATAACTAAAAAAAGTGAACTTGTGAAAATGCGGTGTTAAATGTGATGCAGTTGAAAATTTGGGTGCACCTAACTTTTGTGCTGGTGCACCTAAGAAAAAAAATTTAGGCGCACCAGTGCAACCAGTGCAAAAAGTTAGTCTAGAGCCCTGTTGTAGATGAATTGAATTTAAAATCAATTGATAGTTGCAGCCTTAGATACTAATGGTAGCAAGTAAACCATGATGTCAACAGTACCCTAAATAAACGAGAAACAGTTGTTTTGCAGTGTATTACAGTAAATGATATGCGTCACTCTATTCAGCAGTGAGGTATTTATACAGACAGAAAAATCTCCAAAGTAGAATTCTATCTAAGTACAGGAACAACCACGCACTCACATCTCTACACTAAATCCCTTTTGAAGAGGAAAATGTGACATGACACTAGGTACACCGGAGAGAAATCACAGGATGAGTCACGAGATGAATACAGAGAGAGAAAGCGGAGTAGATCTACCCACACACTCTTATCACCAACAAGCAAAAGCCTAACCAGCTCCAATCAGGATCCCAATTATACAGTACCTACCCCTCAGGCACAAAATACACACGCACACACCTTTCAATCACATGCACAACCTCAAACTGAGCCAAGCACCCAGAGCTTGACACAAACCCCCACGGAGATAATGCAAGGGTTTACTGCTCAGTTATTGGCATGTAAACATAATAAATGTAACAGCGTTCGAAAGAACTGTACACATTTCAGTATCTCTACATTGAACCTGTGACAATAAATATGTCATTAGTATTAACCTCCAATCCTGAAGGGGGCAGTGCCTTTGTCGTTCAGCAACTCCAGCAACAACTACAAAATATCTGCATGTTTTGTTTAAGAATTCCTGTTTATTAGAAATCACAAAAAGCATTAACTAAACATTATGTTAAACGTATTTGTATCAAAAATTAATTAAAATAAATTTTTTTTTGCGAATAAACCCCTTCAAGTGATCTAAAAGGTACAAATATATAACAATATTTATACATGCTGCTGATTAAAATAGGTTTAGTTTTATTTTCTGTTTTGTAAATTAATGTAGCTATGGTGCTCTCCTTTCCTAGGAAACCATAAACCCACACTCAAAACAAAGATGGCCGCCAACCCAAACATGTAAAAACCTTCCAAAACTATGAAGCTTTCACATGGCAAAGGGGTGCCCCGAATAATCTTTGACCAAAGGGGAAGGGCCAGATGAAGAGCTATGGTACTCTCCTTTCCTAGGAAACGCAAAACAAAGATGGCCACCAGCCCGAACAAAAGAAACCCAAACATGTAAAAACCTTCCAAAACTATGAAGCTTTCACATGGCAAAGGGGTGCCCCGAATAATCTTTGACCAAAGGGGAAGGGCCAGATGAAGAGCTATGGTACTCTCCTTTCCTAGGAAACGCAAAACAAAGATGGCCACCAGCCCGAACAAAAGAAACCCAAACATGTAAAAACCTTCTAAAACTATGAAACTATGCGTCTATTTTCGAGTTTAAAAAGTAACTTAAAATCACACAAAATGCTGGTTTCAAAAGGAATAATGCACAATTTTTAGCCCAATACCATTAATGTTACACAATAGACTCGAATATGTCAAATAT